GCCAAAAAAACAAAAATAGCAGCAAAACTTGGAGGGGGGAATTGAGGAGGGAGGGCTGGGTTGCCTCACGCCCCCCTAAAATTTCTTCACCATCCCACCCTCTCCCGGGACATGCCCCCAGTCCACCCATGGACTACAGAATGAAACAGAAGCAGTAACATTTATTCTACCCAGAGCTATCAAATGTACTAGGTATACAAACTGAATTTTTTTTCTAGACTCTTTTTAATGTGATTAAATTGCTTGTGTCACTTGGAAGCAATTTCCAAAATTGCTTTTTTAATAATTAAAAAAATTATTTTCTAAAACTTTGTATTTCACATCTTTTATAGAAATGTTTAAAAATCACATAGCATGCAGAAAGCCATAATTTTATTGTGATCTGAGCCTGCAAATATGCTCAGTGTTCACTTCAAGCAGATGGATCCCAATAGTTCCTGCAGAAAATGAAACAGGCTGAGCATTTTGCAGAGAACTGGCCAGAGCCCTTCTCCTGTCCTTGAAGTGATGGAAATGGGGCCGTTCCTTGTGGGGAAAGAAGTGGGTGTGTCGGGAGTGGGGTTTGAGCTCAAACCTCCTCACATACCAGAACCCAACATTAGGGGCAAGAAAGAGCCTTAAGTCAGGCAGTGGAGAACACTTGGCTCTTGTTATGCTGGGATGGGATATTAGGAAACTTTTTGCAGGCAGCCTGGCTAGCTTAGTGGGTAGAGCATGAGACTATTAATTTCAGGGTCATGGGTTCAAGCCCCATGCTGGGCAGTGCCCTTCCTTAACTCACATTCTCAGTCTGCAAGCAATTGGCTCAGTTTTCATTAGGGCTTTATAAAGAAAAAGTCTAGTCCTGGGGTCCAGCTTTAGTAGAACCAGAGAGAGACCCAACTGCAATTTCCATCTTCTGAGGAGAAGGGAAGAGGATTTTCTTCTCCTCAGTTCTAGCCACATCAACCCAGGGGGGAGAAAAAATAACCCTCCGCCTGTTGATTGTCCCCTGTCAGCTTCTGTAGCTTCAGCTCCTTCCACAGCAGCTCCAGCTTTGAGCTACACATCTCAAGGGGCTGAGGAAATGAGGAGCTGGCAGCTCAGGTAAGTCACTTCCATGAGAACAAGAGGTGGAGTGTTTGCAAGTGTTCATACTTGCGCAAGAAGCCGTGAATATAGACATAGGCCAGGGGACCTGAACCAACCTCCCCTCACTCAACTAGGCCAAACTGGTGCCCCAGTTCATACCCACTGGGACCAGCTTTACTTGTTTTCCTTACAACCAGAGCCCTCTTCTTCTCCTGGGCTGCTGGGCTGCAAGTAGCATCAGCCCTGGGACTCTCTGAGACAGGCACAGGACTCTGCCTCCCCACAGACAGCTGAACCCTACAGGCTTTGGCAGAACACGGGGGAGGGGAGAGGCTCTGCTCACCCCACAGAGGCACTGAGCTTCTGCCCTATGCCCCTCAGCTTGGCTTCCCTCCTCTGCCCCACTCCTGCCTCATGCCCTCCTTGGGCCAGTCAAACATGGGAGGCAGCAAGAATAGCCAGCCCCAAACACCAGCCTCCAAGTGTAGCGGAGGCCAAGCCACAAGTGCCAGGCAGGGCGATGGCCTGTTCTCTGCAAGGTGCTCAGCTGTTTCATTTTTTTGCAGGCCCATTGTATGTGTCCCTGGTGGCTTCATTTACAGTTTTCAATCTTTACATTTGCATCCCTTCTTGGAAAGAGGGTGCAAGTGTAAACATACCCTACGTAGCTAGAGCTGGCTTCCGTCAGTTGAGCCTGGCTATGTCCCTATTGCAGGAACCGAAAGGGAGCAAAGAGCAGAAATACTGGAGGCTGGTGGGGTAACCTCTCAATTTGATTTAATGAGTCTTAGTTGGACTTGCTAAATAAAATTCTATGGCTACATCTGATTTTAAGAGGAATAAGGGATCTTCTGGAAAAGGCTTTATTTTCCGAAAGATCCCTGTCTAGACTGGAGCTTTTTTCCGGCAAAGCTCCGAGCTGGAAAAAAGTGGCAGCCATGTTTATGCAAATGAAGCGGGGGGGATTTAAATCAAATCCCTGCTGCATTTGCAATTCCGACTTGGCTAATCTGCATCCCTTTTCTGGAAAAGGGTGCCAGTGTAGATGTAGCCTATAAGATTGATTGCAGCCATTCCTCTCCCGCTGGACGTGGTTCTTGTTCTTCTGCACAGCACAGCCCATGGAGACCAAGGACCTGCCAATGGGCATTCAGATCACACCCTTGTTGAATTGATGGGAATAGAAACCAGACACACAGCAGGTTTGAATTTGTTTCAGTTGAGATATGGGTTTGCCTGGTTTACATGCATTGATGCAGGAACATGTTAGGGGTTTGTGGTCATTTTAAGAATCCCTGCACAATAGAAATCCAAAATGTGACATACCTGGAGATGCAAGGGTTTTAATGAATTTAATCAGTCTTTTAAGAGGACACTTGGAGTTGAACCAAGGACCACTTGTGCTGCAGTTAAACACTCTACCACTGAGCTACACCCCCATTTCCCAAAGGGTGTTATCTCCAGTGTTGGGGAATTATGCTCTGGCAGTACTGTTTGCAGGAGCAGGTGGTGCCTTGCACACATGGTGGGGGGAGGACGGTCCTCTACAGTGTTGGTCATGTGTGGTGTCCCCCAACCTACGATCCGCATGACGCTTCACGATAGCTCATCATCCCCTGTGCTCCTGCCTGCCCTGTGTGTGTTGCAACCTCACAGCACTCACCTGATGTTCCCTCCCAGGTGCCTGAAGACGTTTGGGAGGCCTCCTGCATCTAGGGAATTGGTTCCAGGGTGAGGGTCACAACATTCCTGGAATCCTCCTTCTCATCCTGGAGCTGCTGGTCAGCAGGGTTGTCATCCTGAAGCTGCGGCAAGAGCCATTCTTCCTGAGAAAATGAGGATGCGTGCACAAGAGGGGGGTTTTGCACAAAAAGGAGCCATCTACGAAAGCCTCTTGTACAAAAACAGCTCCTAATTAATTATGCAAATGAAACAAAGCAATATTCTATTCCACACTTCATTTGCATAAGCTTTTGCAGAAGAAGGCTGCAGCATAGATGTAGCCTTAATCTAGAAAGTGCTATCAGACCGCTTGTGGTTGTTTTTCGTTTATCCTGTACAGCAGCAGTGGCCAACGCATGGCTCATGAAGAAAGAAATTGCAGCTCCTGATGGAACCAGGTCAGAACCCAGAACTGCTCAGGTTAACCACGCTCACGGTTGGGACGCTCTGAGCCACATGTGTGCTCGTGGCCCATGCCGTTCTGCTTACAGTGCACTGCATCCTATCCTGCACATGCAGACTGGGGCCGCACACAGATCCCAGTCTGCACATGCTAGCTGCTGGCCGCTAAGCACAGGCATTGGCTCCGACAGCGGCTCTGGCAGTAGCGAGGGCTTCAGGTGTGGTGGCAGCTCTGGGACCTGAGCATAAAGTTGGGAGGGAGGGGAATTGGGTTAGAGTGGGGGGAGATGCCTGGCTCTGGGGAAGGGGATTGAGTTAGAGTGGGGGGGGGTACCTGGCTCTGGGGAAGGGGATTGAGTTAGAGTGGGGGGGGGTACCTGGCTCTGGGGAAGGGGATTGAGTTAGAGTGGGGGGGGGTACCTGGCTCTGGGGAAGGGGATTGAGTTAGAGTGGGGGGGGGTACCTGGCTCTGGGGAAGGGGATTGAGTTAGAGTGGGGGGGGGTACCTGGCTCTGGGGAAGGGGATTGAGTTAGAGTGGGGGGGGGTACCTGGCTCTGGGGAAGGGGATTGAGTTAGAGTGGGGGGGGGTACCTGGCTCTGGGGAAGGGGATTGAGTTAGAGTGGGGGGGGGTACCTGGCTCTGGGGAAGGGGATTGAGTTAGAGTGGGGGGGGGTACCTGGCTCTGGGGAAGGGGATTGAGTTAGAGTGGGGGGGGGTACCTGGCTCTGGGGAAGGGGATTGAGTTAGAGTGGGGGGGGGTACCTGGCTCTGGGGAAGGGGATTGAGTTAGAGTGGGGGGGGGTACCTGGCTCTGGGGAAGGGGATTGAGTTAGAGTGGGGGGGGGTACCTGGCTCTGGGGAAGGGGATTGAGTTAGAGTGGGGGGGAAGGGATGTGCCTGGCTCTGAGAAAAGGGAGGGGGATTGGATTAGAGCGGTGGGCCTGGTTCTAGGGGAAAGGAGAGGGATTGAGTTAAGAGCCGCGATCACCCGCCTGTCAATCGCGATCAACTTGTCAATCGCAGGGGCATGACCAGTTGATTGCGAGGTGTTCCACACCCCTCTCATTCCCTCCCATGCCCAAAAAGCCCTCGCTGATGCTACCACCAGCGGCTTCCTGTGGCGTGTGGGGAGAAGTCCCATAGCTACAAACTAGGTCCTGTGTCTCAAGAAGAGCACAGGCTGCCCTTCCCCTCCCTTAAACAGCTGGCACGCTTCCTGAAATGACGTTGCTGTCATACTACGCGGACTTTTCCCCCTGTTGCCTGCCTGTGCAGGGGGCAGAGGGGGGAAAGGAATAGGAATTCCAGGACTGCATGACAGCTCAACGGATGTCGTGGGAAACAGAGGCAGCAGGAAGGAAGATCCCGGCGGAGCAACAGACCGAGCATTTCAGGAAGTGCACCAGTTGTTTAGGAGAAAGGAACCGAGGAGAGGGGAAGAACAGCCCATGTGCTTTACTGAGACCCCAGATCCCCAGGTATTGGCCCCAGCTGTCTCTGTCCCTTTCCCCTGGCCAGACCCCCACCGAGTACCCTGCCCCAGTCCCCACCAACCCTCTGCCCCAGTACCCACCAGCATCCTGTCCCAGCCTTGTGCCACAGCACCCCCCAGCAACCTGTCCCCCTGTCCCCACCAACACAGTTGGGGCCATATTAGTGAGGTTTAGGTTTTATTTAGAGAAGTGGTTTTTTTTGCATCTCACTTTTGTGGCCCTGACTGACTTTTCTGTGGGTCAGTGACCCTTGACTCAAGAGAGGTTCCCCGCCTCCCTCATAAATAAAGACAACACTGAAACCTTTTGTGTTTGACATATTTTATTTAAAAATGAAGCCTGGCCACCAAGCCCCCATCTGGTCACAGCATCATAACACTCCTGCAACCTCCCAGATCCCATACACTGGAATCCCTCTCATACACTGGAATCCCCCATCCTGAGCCTCTCACATCCCCAAACTCTCTTCTGCCACAACACACCTGCACCACCCACACACCGCAAACCTGTCCCGAGCCCATTATACTCCCAGCCTCCCTTCCTTGAGCCCCACATGCACCCCAGCCCAAACTCCTGCACCCTCACAGCCACAAGCCTGCAGCTTACTCAGAAACCCAACCCTCCACCTGACCCCACACACTCCAGCCTGGAGCACTCTCCCTGACCCAGCATCCTCTCTACTTCCTCCTGCACCTAAATTCCCTCCCACAGCTTGCACCTCTCACCCCTTTCCAGTGCGTTTTTTGTGATGGCATGTCACAGGACAGCGTACCAGCACCTATTTTCTCCCAGCGCAGGTCTTTGGGGTCTTTTTGATTAACAATGCCCCCCCCCACCACCTCTATTTTGGCTTTTTGTCTCTAACGGGTTGGTCACCCCTGCTGTACAGACTAATTCAGCTACCCCCTGAAGCGTCTGACATTGATAGGGTCTCTCTCTCTCTTGCTTGTGCACTTTCTGATGGCTTACAAGGTTTGACCTCTCTTTGAACCTTTTTCCACAGTCAAAGCACTTACATGGTCTCTCTGCCATGTGGGTTTTCTCATGCTTACTCAGGGCTGATTGAAAAGTGAAATCTTTTCCACACTCATTGCATTTATACGGCCTCTCTCCCGTGTGCACACCCTGATGGACAAAAAGGTATGAACTCACAGTGAAGCTTTTCCCACAATGGAAGCACTTATATGGTCTCTCTCCTGTGTGGGTTCTTTCATGTCTAATGAGGTCTGATCGTACAGTGAAACCTTTCCCACACTCATGGCATTTATATGGTCTCTCCCCTGTGTGGGTTCTCTCATGTCTAATGAGAGCTGATTGTTCAGCGAAACTTTTCCCACATTCGTGGCATTTATATGGTCTCTCGCCCGTGTGGGTTCTCTCATGTCTACTGAGGGCTGATTGTATAGTGAAACCTTTCCCACACTCATGGCACTTATATGGTGACTCTCCCGTATGTGTTCTCTCATGTTTAATAAGATCTGATTGGGAAAGGAAACATTTCCCACACTCCTGGCATTTATATGGTCTCACTCTGATGTGGGTTCTCTCATGTCTATAGTGAGCTGATCGTTCAGTGAATCCTTTCCCACACTCGTGGCATTTATATGGTCTCTCTCCTGTGTGTGTTCTCTTGTGGTTAAGGAGGTACGCGTGTACAGCGAAAGCTTTCCCACACTCCTGGCATTTATACGGCCTCTCTCCCGTGTGCACTCTCTGATGGATAAAAAGGTTTGAACTGAATCGGAAACTTTTCCCACAATGGAAACACTTATATGGTCTCTCTCCTGTGTGGGTTCTCTCATGCCTACTGAGGGTTGATCGTTCAGTGAAATCTTTTCCACACTCAGGGCATTTATATGGTCTCTCCCCTGTGTGGATTCTCTGATGTACAATAAGGCTTGACTTCTGTTTGAAGCTTTTCCCACATTGCAAGCATCTATATGGTCTCTCTCCAATGTGGGTTTTCTGATGGCTACTAAGATGTGATCTGAAAGTGAAACTTTTCCCACACTCAGAGCATTTATAGGATTTCTCCCCCATGGGGGTAACCTCAGGTTCAATACGTGATGACAGATCAATCAAACTTTTTCCACACTCCAGGCATTTGCAGAGTCTTTCTCCTGTGTGCCCTCGCTGGGGCAGAATAAGGCCTGACTTCTCTCTTAATATTTTCTCACAATCTGAGCTTTCATCACAGCATTTCTTTCCATTGTGATTTGTCTGCTGGGCTAAAATTTCCTTGGGATCCTTGGATTCTCCTCCACATTCCATGGATTCCTCTGCTTTCCTGCTTGGATTGTTCTCCAATTGCCTTTCTGCCCTGTGTTGATTTCCCCAGGTTTCCCTCTGTTCCACACACTGGGAAACATCCCCTTCATCTCCTTCCAGAAACATTCCCTGTGATTCTATGGTGCCAGGACTGTCCTGCTGTTGATTCTCATTGTTCTCCCTCACTGTCCTCGCACCTGCAAGGGGAGAGGGAATCGAGGCAGGACTCACTGTCTGTACTGGGGAGAAAGGACCCACAGGGGAATGGCAAAGACAGAAAGCACAAAACAATAATAGTTTGGGAAAGTGAAACATTGGATTCTGCTTCCACACCCCACCCAAACATCCCCAATGGAGGAAACTCCTGACAGCTAACATGATGGTTGAGGAGCTGTGACAGGTGGTTGCCAGGATAACACCTGCAGCCCTACCTGGGAGACATGGGGTCGAAGTCAGGTCTCTCACTCACTGCTCATTTTGGGGAAACCCAGCTTCTTCCTGCACTCACCGGATAGTTTCTGGCTCAGTTTCCCTGACTCCTCAACTGCACCAGTTTGTCTCAGGAGCTCTGTTTCTTTGAGAATCAAGGCCCACGGCACTTCCCCTCGTTCCAGCCAGAGAATCAGGTCAGGTTTGAGAATGGAGAATCCTGCACAGGGGAGAAATCAGGCACGGTGAAGGCACATGGAATCTGGGTAGAGTATGTGTCACAAGGAAGATTCCCTGTGCTCAAACCAAGTCTAAAGAAAACTGTGGTAACTCAGACAACTTGAGAGCAACAGACTTGTTGGGCAGAAGGAGGGTGAGGACTGTGAGAGAGTTATGTTGCATGTGATTTCTACTGTATTATGGTAACCCTCTGTGTGCCTCAGTTTCCCTGGGCACTGCAACACTATCTAGATGGGGGTGACTCACTGTGGGACAATGCCCAAGCCAGCATATTCACAACTGCCCAGGCTCACGGTAATCTGAGCCTGGGTGCGGGGTGTGACCAGACACCTTTGTGAAGCTAGAGAAAGGCTTGAGACAGGGCTGGCTGCAGCCAGGGATGAGCAGTGGCAGCAGGAAGTGAATTGCCCTTACTTGTGGTCAGAGATGAGGAGCAGGGTCTTTGGCTCTAGGCCTCCTTCTCCCTAACATGGATTGTACCGACTGCTCTTGGGTCCTGTGCTAACATCCCTAGAACAGACTTGTTAAGAAGTGGGTATTTAACTTAGTGTAGTTGACAGAATTGTTATCGAGTACACTATTAGTCGATAAGGGAAGGCACCCACAGCACAAGGCGCTCGGGCAGCCCCAGCCCCGGGGTACATGCCGGCGCCGGGTGCAAGGGCATCCCCGTTCCCTGGCGTGCCCCCGGACGCGCGGCCCTACCCCCCGGGCGCCTGGCAGCCCCAGCCATGGGACACATGCCAGCGCTGGCGCCGGGTGCAAGGGCATCCCCGTCCCCTGGCGTGCCCCCGGACGTGCGGCCCCACCCCCTGGGCACCCGGGAGCCTCTAAAGGTTGGGGACCACTGCCCTAGATTATGAAGTATCTCTATGACCTAATGAACCTTCTGTTCTGAGAATCACTCTGGTTGGGGGGAGGGGGGTATGGCCCATTGAATCCCCACATCTCAATGACAGAGGATGGTGTCTTGCCTTCACTAGGAGTTGTAATGATCTGTGGGCTCCGGGGGGCTTGCTGACCCACACAAAGTTCTGGAGCTAAACTCCTGCATATTTCCAAGCCTGCAGAACCTAGAGCCCTCCCAACACATGGAACTAATCCAAGGAAGGCAGGTGAATGGTTTGTGAATGAGAAATAATGTAGGCTGGACCGTATCCTGGTTCTGGCCCCTGAAAGCTGGAGAGATGGGGATGAATTAGCATGGCCCTTAAGAGTCTGACTCCCCTGTGCCCCAGAAAAGAGCATGGCGCTGAAAGCTGTTGGGATATGTAGGAATTAATAGGGGCCCAGGAAAGAATACAACTGTGGTAGGGGGCTGGCCAGAGTAGGCATTGTCCTTTCTGATGTTATAAACTGGATATTTCCTGTTGTTCTTGCAGCCTAGAAAGACAGTTGTACTGAAGTGTCTTGTTTTGTGTCTTGCTTATTTTTACTTACTCTCTAAAAATACTTTCAGGGTCACATCCTTTGTAACCTTCTGACATGAGAAGTCTGTAATGCAGAAAAGTGCTGATCTAACTGAAAATCCTGTAAACAGGGGCGGGTATAATAATATATATCACCTGCCTATTAATATTCATCATATGGGAGTTAACATTACTGAATAAGGTCTATGCGGATAAGACATGTGAATTAACATACTAAAATGGATAAAGGAGCGTAACTGGTGCCAAAACATTGCTCACTCACAAGGGAGTGTTGGGTACCTGAGGGGAATGAGTATCTGCAATAAAGAGGTGTATACCCAATCCACTCCCGAGTATCCTGTTTCTTCTTTAACATCTGGCATTACAAACAGGATTATAGGGGACAGTCATGCCTGATCCCATCTTGACGGATTGCTTGGATAAGTCTGCAACAACTGTTAGGAATTTTACCATAAAGTTAACAGGAAAACAGGGGGACCTTTTGAGTATTCCTCTGGGGAATGTCAGGATTGGCTGACCATTAAGGGATGGGTAGAATGCTCTCTTTCATTCACAATTTCCCAGGAGAAGAAAGTGGCTGGCTGATACAGGCTCTGTGTGAGGGCCTGGTAGGCTTGCAGGAGGAAGTTACTAATCTTAGAAGTAAAATAGAAATTATGCAGCAAATTGCTGAAGAAGCACGTTGTTACCCATAAGTGTGTGCTGGCAGCCAGAATGACTGAGACGTGTATGGATTTTTAATCACCTTAAATCAAAGAATCTGCCTCTGAAGGGTCAAGCAGGCACATTAAAGAAAAATGCCTTTCCACTCCCACCAGAGGTATACAAAAAGAGGGCATTTAAAAATTTCTTCAGGGCCAGGAGAGGTGGAGGCTATTTGAGAGGGCCATTCTCCTTGCTAAATGGGTATTGAAACAGGCCTGTGTCCATGGAAGGGTACCATTCAGCACAAGAAATACGACTGAGGCCCAGACAAGTTGGCACACAACAGGTAAACTTTAACAACTGTCAGACAGGGGAAAGCATAGTGAGAGGAGTACGGAAAAGCGTACAATCCCAGGGAATTCAGATTCCTGTGAATGGAGGGAACTTGGTATGGTCATTTTGGGAGATAAAAGCTAGCAATTTAAGGAAAAAGCGAGTGAGAAGTTAAATCTGCAAAGCGTGGGGAGGAACTGAGCAGTTGAATGTTGTGTACATGCTATTGACTTAAATTGTTATAGGAAACGAATTCTTGGTTTCTTTGCAGCTATTCTGATGGAAAAATGGGCCCTTCCAAAAGAAATGTCTGTAAATAATCCAGGCAAGGAGACAATCTGAGGTGCATGCGTGCGTGTCTATGAAAATATCTCTCTCTCTCACACACACACACACACACACACACACAGTAAGTATACAAGGGTTTTAGAATTTAACCAGCAATCATGATTTGTAAAATTCTGTTCTGAAAGCTTGAAATGAATTGGTTTTTAATAACGCCATTTCATTTCAAATTGTAAAACTGACAAGACACTTTCTTGCCATACACAGGTAACTAGTGTTGCTTGGCTTTTGGTATTTAGCATTTAATCTTAAAGGTATGAAGAGTTCAATATCTTTTCATAAACCAAGTTGTGGCTCTTACATGGGGCAGCCGTGAGAACCACAATGAGACCTTGGCTGTGGGAAGAGCAGCACCACTATTATGTCGCTGGACCTCCTCTCACACAGGAGCCAGGATTACTGGGGCAGATACTGCTGATACTGAGGGTTCGGGCAATGAGGGACCCTGAACCAAACCCAACCCAGCTGCTCCAGAGCCCACCCAGGTTCTGTTACACAAGGGGACAGGAATCCTTACCCAGCCAGCTCACAGCCTCGTAATTCTCCTGCATCACATCCCTGTAGAGGGCTCTTTGGCCCGGGTCCAGCAGAGCCCATTCCTCCTCAGAGAAGTACACAGCCACCTCCTCGAAGCTCACCGGCTCCGCCACGGTCATTTCCTGTCCCTGGCTCTGCAGGCCAGGGGCTGAACTGGAGTCAGACATGGGTGTTCTGCCGCCTGGCAGGGGGGGGAGGAAAATTGGGAGACATTTCCGAAGGGGCTGCAAGCCTTTCCACACCCCCATTCTCCCCAGACTCTATCCCTGGTGACACATGCCAGATACTGCCATTTTGGGCAAAAGTTTGAGTCTAGATATTCTATAAGCAACACACACAAGTTAGAGCCCAAAAGCCATATGCATTTCTCTCAATACATGGTTTGAGTTTCAACATTCCTGCACCTGCAGGAATGGGATTTGATTCTGAGCACCGAGGAGTTCTGAAAAACAAGCCCTGTATTCAACTGCCTGAACATGGATGTAAGTGTCTACGTTGAGGCTCCTATATTTCAAACCTCTAGTTTTCATCCATTTATTTGCAGCAGAGACCTAGGTGCTCTCCTCAGGACTAAATTGGCAGAAGTGAAACATTCAGACGCTTAAAATTAAATGGAGCTGCTGAATGTTTGCAGGATGAGAGTCTAAGGCTCAGAGATTCACACCATCAGGCAGGATCATTATTTCATGTATTTAATCAGACACCTAATGGTACCCCGATTGAATTAAAGCGATACCTGAATCTACCTGGATAAATTGGGACACTTTGACATACCCGTTAAAGGGGATCCAGGCTGAGCCATGCGTGGATCCTGGAAGTCCAGGCCATGCAAGAGACTAATGCAGTCCCAGGTTCAGTTACACCTGCTGGCTTTATATATGCTCCAGCTGACAAGTGTAGGATGATCCACATTTCACTTCACATTAGAGCCCAGGCCATCACACGAGAGGGGGAGCAAGACACCGGTTGGCACAACCAAGCTCTTGATCAAGACAACTCCTGCTACCTGTCAGAGGGTCTCGCCAAATATGACACAAGATAGACAACCAGAAATCATATAAACCAAACAAGCATTCAAAGAAAATGAGTAGTCACAGCATCTAATAGACCTAAGCATAGCACAAGGGGTCCCATTCCACTAGGCCCTGGACAAAAACAGAAGCAAAAGAAAGCTCCAACAGCAGTGGGCTCCCAACTTCTTTGAGCACATGGATGCCTTTTCAATCTATTAAAATTGTACGGACACCCCTCCCGCCAAACAAAATAGGTGTTTTCAAACACTCCATTATTTGAAAACACGATCACGGAAATAAAATATTAAATATATATTTATAATTACACAACGTACAATATTATTAATTCAAATACATAAGTGTTTTGTACACGGTACATTTACTTTAATCTGTATTTTAAACTTTTCACAGACCCCATACAGCACCATTGCAGAGCACTAGGAGTCTGCTGACCACAGGCTGGGAACCACTGTCCTACACCCCTGAGTTTACACGCTATGGGATAAGCTGCTTCAACAGATACATGGCCTAAGGGGTTCTCATTGCCACAAGCTTTGCAGTGAAGAGCTCGGAGGCTCCTTCTAGCAGCCCCCACACGGCAATGGAGCAATATCGCTGTCAGCCAGCAGGGACTGACGCAGGAGACACTAGGACAGGGGTGGGCAACAATTTCTGGTCCGGGGCCACTTCAAAAATTTCTTACAGTGGCCCCCCCCCCGGCTGGCCCAGAAGGGGCGGGGCCTAATCCGGACAGGGCGGGGCCAGAGCGCTTCTGGGCTTTCCCATCCCAGAGTACAGCTCGTCTGGAGGGGACCCCCCCCCTTTGCCCCCTTC